TATAATGCTCATTTTCAGATTCATATCTGTGCTGCAGCACCTCTTTTCACCCTCTGCTCTGATTGGTTAGCCTGCCACCTGTGTTTTGATTGGTCAACCGCTTAGAGATGTCCCGCCCCTTAGGCTATCACATACACAAGTGTTACATAGTGATGTCATTATGATCTTGAAGTCAACAAAAGGAGTCGAATGGAGGTGTTTCAGGCATGAGGGGGAGGGGGGTGGTACGTGGGAGAGAAACTTCCTCTTAAGGCCCGGACACACCCAGCTGACATGTGTGTATTCGTCATTCAAAAGAGGCAACAACCGGAAGACAGACTGCGTGATAACCGAGAGAAGAAGAACAGACTGCGTAATATAAACAAACAACAAATAGCGTGTGCGTTCCATTTTCACTCTACAACGAGAAGCTCATGGTGCTTTCCCGAACCTGTGTCGAGAGCTGGAGTTAAATGAAATCTCAGATTTGCCTTCTTAATCGTTTGTTTGGGTCCCTCACTTCCGTTTTGCTTCTCATGCACTGATTCGCTAGCTGAACAGCCAATCAGATTGATTTATTTGGCCGACGGCCTTTGGGCCGACAGCCTACCGATTCAACATTTCGAATTGATGGTGGAAGGTGTCGGCATGGCCAAAAAGACACAACGGTGCAGTACACACCAATCTGAATAGGGCGACACAACGCTCATCGACGGCCCGACATCTATCGACGCCGAAAATCGGCTTGGTGTGTCAGGAGCTTTAGACACTTTTATCCAAAGCGACTTACATACTCAATAATGTGGGCAATCCCAACAGGAGCAATTTGGGGTAAAGTGTCTTGCCCAGGGACACAACGACAAGCTGACTGCAGTGGGGTATGAACCTGCGCCACACGCCTCCTCTCGCATAACACTCTTTCTTTGAACTCTTGCCACAACCATCAGCTTTAAAGTGGAACTCCCAGACTGGAGTTCTTTAAACGGCTTCTTGAGGCTGGCTCCAAAGAGTCATGTGCCCCTTTCACACCAACGTAGCTCTTGTTCTAGCTCCGTGCTTGCGCTCTTCTGGTTCGGAACCAGTTCTTCTTTTCAACCCCCGTTTTGTTCACACCGCCCAGAGCCCGAGTGGTGCTGCGCCATCGAATAGGACGAATACGTCCTATTCAATGGCGTTAAAGCTAGCTGTTGTTAGCCTCTGCATGTGCTAAGCTCAAAATACCTAGCTTTGCAGCATTAATTACTATGGTATAACATTAAAACTGATTCTCATCGTTACAAACTGGACAAAATGTGGGCTTTTTGTTGTTGTTCAGGAGGTTGATCCCGCCCCTGCCCCCGCCTCCGACGTAAGAGTGACGTATGCGGTTCTTGCTTCTAGATGGACAATTTTTTCGAGCTTGGTAAGAACAAGGAAACACCGGTGCTTAACAGGCTCAAGCTCCGAACCGGCCCTGGAACCGCACTGGTGTGAAAGGGGGCAATAGAGACACTTTGATACCAAAATGTAGAAAGTGACTCTAAGTGCCCTCTGAGTTTGACGGAAGGTTTGACAAAGGAACATCACAGATAGCAAGTGTTTTTTCCATGAAAGACTGTTTTGACACTACTGCGTGGGATGTGTTCACTGACTCTCACGAGGAAGACATCCACAGCCTTACAGACTGCATCACGGATTACATTAACTTCTGTGAGTGCAGTGCATATTAACAATAAAGGATGGTGGTTGATGATGCAGGTGTGGTGAGCTGAAAACTGATGTTTTGTTCAGCTGTGTGGAGGTCAGAGCAGCACTGCTGTCACACTGAGTAAAACAGAGTTCACTTTATGTTTTTCTAACGTTTTTCAAATGGGCATTAAGGCTCAGAGTTAGACCACTCCTCAACGTCACACCTGCACTAAGCAGTCAAATGAAATCAAACAGAGGCGGGCTGCACTACTCCTTTGTTATGTTGGTAACGAGATGAAGGACGAGACAATAACCTTGAAGCCTGATGGCTGAAGGCGCACTACTGTGACCTTACTGTTCTTAACTATACAGGTCATCTTCTCACATTATCATCACTTCAATTCATATTGTTTTTAAATGGCAAGAGCTTGACAGGAGCTTATATCCATTTGTCAGGGCCCTACATTATCTGCTCTACATATCAGAGCATTCAGCTGCTAAAGAGCAGATGTGTATTTTGTTTCTTCTAATTGCAGTTTCATTTCAAATATATTTCAGCAGCTTTTGTGAAAAGCATCATGTTAACCATTTCAGGCAGGAGCCTCTGCAGCTTCTGTGTCAGCTGACAACTGACATTACAGCTGATGATGGCTAACAGCACTCAGTGCTGACTGATAAAATAACCTGGCCTCTCAAACAGAACATAACACAAACAAAGGGACAAAGATGGTTAACTGGCCTGTTCTAATCCTGTGTTCTGATAGCTGGGGTTACATTTGAAGACACAGAACATAGAGACATTGAACATGTTTTGAAAGAGAAAGCACACAGAAGACTTTGCAAAAAAGCAAATGGTTTAAAATACAACAGAGAAATGAGGACCCACTCACCTCCTGGTGTCTTCGTCCAGTCCTCTGGTCTTCTGCGTGCGGACCCAGTGTTCCAGCTGCTGCATGGAGTTGGTTCTGGACAGGCCCCGCTCCGGCTCCTGGACTGGAACAGGGGACGTTCCTGGAGCCATGGCCAGGCTGCTATCCCCCTCTGAGAGGCTGCAGACCCCAGAGTGCCCCGCCGCTGCGGGCCCCGGGCCGTTGGGCTGTGGGGGGCCGTGGACACTGAGGTGGGCGTGGCTCTGGCGGGACGCGGACACGGCCGCTGCGATGGCGGCCGCCTGGGCCGGCTGCAGCTGGAGGCTGCTGATCTTAGTCAGAGCCCTCTCTGCACTCGGGTCTCTCTGGAAGCCATACCTATCCCCCCCACGCACCGTAGCATACTTCCCCGCATCTCTCAGAGTAGCATATCTATCCCCCTCTCGCAGCGTACTGTATTTCTTCACTTCTTTCAGGGTGCCGTATTTGTCCACAACTTGTATAGTGCCATATTTGTTCTCCATCTCCCTCATCATGTCGTACCTCCCTGTCTCCTTTAAGGACAACTGTCTCCTAACTTCCTTCTGGGGAACATATTTATGTCCATCTTTTTGGAGTGTGTGTCGGTCGCCTATTTTTTGCAGTGCGTATTTTTCTCTCTCCTTGGTGAGCAGGTACTTCTCTGCATCTTTACACAGAGCGTATTTCTCCTCCTTCACGGTGCACCTTCCATCCATGTTTTGAACAGCATACTTCTCCAGGTCTTTGTGGATTGCACACACCTCTCCATCTTTCTGCAACAAGAATTTCTCCCCGTCTTTTCGCAGCATGTACTTCTCTCCATCCTTCTGGAGGAAATACCTCTCTCCGTCTTTCTCAAGCATGTAGCTCATACCGTCTTTCTTCAGAGAGTACCTCTCTCCTTCTCTTTGTAAGGTGTAGTACTCCCTCTGGCCGTTGTGTTTCTCTAGGTCTTTTTGGCGTTTGTCGTCTGCTTGAGATAGAGAGTGTTGTCTCACAGGCTCGCGGTTCCGCTCGTTGTTCTGGATCTCAGGCCGGGTCAGGACTCTGTGGTTGAGAAGGTTGTTCAACTCCTGAGGGGTTCGCTGATCTACTTTCAGCTTGTCCTGCCTGGTAGCAAAGAGAGAGATGAATGTGACAAAGAGTGACAGACAGAGTAACGTTTTCTAAGAGATGTCAGACTTCAGCGTCTGACAGACCCTCAGTCTCTGTCTCACTTCCTGTCTTTCTCCTCTGATCTCTGTTGGAACTCAGTGACAGTACCGGTCTGGTCAGTCAGGTTCCACTGGGCGTTGGGTTAGTGACGGTAAATAAATATGGGTGATTGCTTTGGAATAACTTCACGAACACATCCTAGACTTTACGCTTGAGAGCTTTTCCCTCAGTAAGATATTTGGCGGAAACAGAATAAACGTTATATTGGACATTTTCTAACTTTCAAAATCTTTTAATTTATCTAAATCACTATATGTAGATGTAGATAGGACACAATTATCGTAACACATATAAATCTGCCTTCCTCATAACAGTGTTTTCTAGAAAAAAGAAGACAAAAGTCTGACAATTTGACAATTGTTTGCCTTTTGCTGCATGTCATCCCAATAATGATAACCCTACCATAGAAAAGAATGATGCACAGACCCTTTACCTGCACTTCTCTCTCAGAGGTGTCCCATGTTCCCAGATCTCAGCAGTTCATTTTTGTGCAAAAAATTAAGTTGTGTACAATGTTACAAAATATGAGCTTCAGTTATTTTCCCTTTTTAAATGATGTTTCTGTTGCTCATTGGATCTGATTAAAGGGGAACACGCTGGTGGAAAATCAGCAAAGTTGACTTCTTACTGTAAATATTTAAAGCTCCTTTAAGAATCACGATATCACCATGACAACAAGTTCAACCTTGCCTTTCTCCTAGTTGGAACCCTGTCTCCAGTCTTCATGAAACTCTTAAGTTGGCCCTTTTAGAGGCATTTAGGAGGACTCTAGAGATATGATAACACACTTCATGAATATTACAGCACAGCGCTCTAATCTGCAGAAAAGACTCTGTGTCAGATATCATTTCACAACTATCACATCTGTCTGTGGGATGTCCCTGTGTGAGGAGGACCCACCTTCTGACGGGTTCACTGTGGACCAGCGCAGCATCCGTCATGACTTTCATCCACGACTCCATCTCTTTGGCTGTGTCAGTGCAGAAATAATACGTCCGCATGTTGGGGTGAGTGGCCTGGCAGGGTGGGGGCGGGGGGGCATATAGAAAGTGAGAGTGAGATAAATAGAGCAGACACAGATAGATCGAGAACACAGAGAGGATGAGATGAAACAGTGTGAGGTGACCTTGAGATGCCAGCAACCAGTCTAAATCATTCCTGTTGAGGAGTGTGTGTGTATAGGTGAGTGTGTGACTGTGTGTGTATGTGTCTGTATACAGGACTGTCTCAGAAAATTAGAATATTGTGATAAAGTTCTTTATTTTCTGTAATGCAATTAAAAAAACAAAAATGTCATACATTCTGGATTCATTACAAATCAACTGAAATATTGCAAGCCTTTTATTATTTTAATATTGCTGATTATGGCATACAGCTTAAGAAAACTCAAATATCCTATCTCTAAATATTAGAATATCATGAAAAAGTATACTAGTAGGGTGTTCAACGAATCACTTGAATCGTCTAATTAACTCGAAACACCTGCAAGGGTTTCCTGAGCCTTGAAAAACACTCAGCTTGGTTCAGTAAACTAAATCACAAGTATGGGGAAGACTGCTGATCTGACTGCTGTCCAGAGGACCGTCATTGACACCCTCCATCAGGAGGGTAAGACACAAAAAGAAATTTCTCAAAGAGCAAGCTGTTCACAGAGTGCAGTTTCAAAGCACATCCACAAAAAGTCTGTTGGAAGGGGGAAATGTGGCAGGAAACGCTGCACAACCAAGAGAGATGACCGCAGCCTTAACAGCATTGTGAAGAAGAGTCGCTTCCAGAATTTGGGGGAGCTTCAAAGACAGTGGACTGAAGCTGGAGTCCAGGTATCAAAAGTCACTGTTCACAGACGTGTCCGGGAAATGGGCTACAATAGCCGTATTCCCATGGTCAAGCCACTTCTGAACTCAAGAAAACGGAAGAGGCGTCTGACTTGGGCTAAGGAAAAGAAGCACTGGACAGTTGCACAGTGGTCCAAAGTCCTCTTTTCAGACGAAAGCAAGTTTTGTATTTCATTTGGAAGTCAAGGCGCCAGAGTCTGGAGAAAGGCTGGAGAGGAGCAAAATCCAAGTTGCTTGAAATCCAGTGTGAAGTTCCCACAGTCANTGTGCATGCGTGAGTGGCAATAACTCTCCTTACCAGCAGGCGGCGGTAGTGTGTATTCGTGATTCAAAAGAGGCAACAACTGGAAGACAGGCCGTGAGAAACGGCCTGTCTTCCAGTTGTTGCCTCTTTTGAATCACGAATACACACTACCGCCGCCTGCTGGTAAGGAGAGTTATTGCCACTCACGCATGCACAGTTCGTACTTGCAACTTGGCCGTCGGCTGAAGTCTTTGCGGTGTGTTCCAGGGCGAAACATGGCCAAGATGTAGGAGACATGAGGTGACGCGTCCCAACCGGTCTTTTGTGTCCGTTTTATTGTGTAAAGGCCGCTACACACCAACCTGAGACCAAAGAACGCGTCCCGACTTTTACGTCCGCTACGTCGCCTGCGTCTGGGTTCATAAGCTACCCAGCAGTATATAATGTAATTTAAATCAGCTCCTCCACTTCAGCTCTCTGAAGCAGAAATAAACTATTTAAGCATTGTGGCTGGCAACCTTAAAGTACTGCTGCTACCACATTCCATGCATCAGTAATTATAATCAAAGATATATAAATAACACTGACAGGCAAATGATGTATCATCATGTACATATCTGACTTTTATTGTAGTATTGCTAATTGTATCCTCATTCTCTAATGGCTGTAGTATGAAGGTACGAAATAAAGTTTTGCATTTTGCAGTAGCGGTAAAAAGTGGTTTATTTATTATCATTCAAAGAACTGTACAGTGTAAAGACAATACAAAAATACAATACGATAAAAATAGTCAATAGTGTGCAATACAATAAAAAAAACTGCAGCCTGGCCAGGATCCACTGCTGTCTGCCGGTCTTTGGTGCTCCAGAACTACCCGAAGGTGCAAGTTTCTTGTACCGGGTGTACTGGGTTCGCAGAGATTCCCACTTCTTCTTCAGCTCTTTCTCTGAAGCACACAAATAAACTATTTAAGCATTGTGGCTAGTTAGCATGTCCAATTCATATCTATGCAGTGCCAAACAAGCAACAGGTAGCAAACAATAACAACAAAACACAATGTTGAAATAACAAATTATATTTCACGTTAACGTCACTGTACGCTGGCAAACCTACAGTTTCTGCTAAAGAGCTCAATTGATGAAAAAAAAGAGAATCTTACCTGATAAAACAAGTACAGTTTCAATCTCTCGCCAGAGTCCGGTTTTGACTACTCGGTTCGCGTACAGTTTCTCTGTGATGTCGAACAGAGGTGGCCTCTCCTGGATCAAGCTGATTAGTTGGTCTTCACTTTCTTCATTCCAGGCCGCCATGATAAAAAAGAAACTCTTGCGTCCAGGTGAGATGAAAATGAAAAAGATTAGCCGTCTGTGTGCCTTCTTAATCGTTTGTTTTGGTCCCTCACTTCCGCTTCGCTTCTCATGCACTGATTCGCTAAGCTGAACAGCCAATCAGAGTGATTTCTTTGGCCGACTTTTTTCGGCCGCGGGAGGTGTGCAAATTTGCCGTAAAGAGACGACGGTGCGGGACACACCAACCTGAGTAGGGTGCCGCGAATGCCCGACTGCCTCTGACGGCCTCTGACTCCCAAAATCGGGTCAGGCTTAACAAGTACCATGTAATATAATGTAATGTAATGCTCTGTGTGTTAGGCTGACAGAGGGACAGAGGGACAGAGACCACAGGGGGTCCCAGGCCCTCACCAGGTCAACAAGGACACTTCCATTTAAGATGAGCTGCTAACGGCTGCAGAGATAATGAGCCCATCATTTTTCACTGTGTTCCTGGGTCAAAGTGAAAGTAAATCAGAGTTCTGTTAACAAAAGTAGTTTGATAATTAAATCCAGTCAAGCACACCATACATGTCAAAGCACGCACATACAGATCGCTAATCTGGTTCCTGTTCAGCACACCCTGATTAAAGCCATGATCCAATGCTGCTGATAACAGCAAGGTGTCAAGCCCTTATTCTTACTCAGTATTCTTTACTGTATAAGGGAAGGATAAGAAGTGTAGTAACCACATTACAATATATAAGATATCTTAGATGTCAACCAACTCCCTGATCCAACCCTTGAGTATATGTTGCTCTGTAAGTTATCTTTATTGGTCAAACAGACATGTTTTAAACTAATCTCGCTTCCGGCTTCTGAGACCAGATTTATGAATCACACTCTGGTTTAAACAATTACTCATCCATTCAGTTGACATTTATACATTTTCACAAAACAGTAAATTATTTCAGGTCAGTAAAAAAGACATAACATATTTGCAACCGTCTTTTGCTAATTTGCATCTTACTTTCTAACAGGAATATGGTCTGTATAATGTGGCTCTTACCACTGAATTGATTTTTTATAACTGCTTTATGTCATTGGGATTCATGAACTTAGGTTATGAAGTTGTAAATGAGTAATACACCAAAATATATTTAAAACTTTTTACCATTCAGCCCCTTCTTTGAAGGGTTGGGTTGCGAGCCTAATGTATTGTTGCACACTTCAAACACCATGCTGTGTCTATGGTTTTTTAGCTTGAGGGGTTTGTGGTCAACAAGTTGAATTGTCCTTGAGTTTAAACAGATTTTGTGGCAGACTGAGGGTTACCACTCTACAGTTAACTCACCTGGAAATCACACGATGGGTTTTCCCTGTTCCACCTGTCTGCTTTCCACACCGTTAGTTGTGGGAGCCTTAATTATCATAAAAACGTTCCTTTTAAAATGCAATACATTGAAAACGCTGATGCATCACATTTTCCATTTTGTTCCATTAGATGATGAATCAAAACACAAACAAATTACGTTTATAACTGCCTTTATGGCCTTTTTTGAGTCAACACAGAATCCAGATACCCTGGATAAACCTGACAAACTAACCTCCGACCCAATGATCACGCTTGGCTGTGGTGGTTAGTTATGAGTAACTAACTACTCATCTTTTTTCTGTGTCAGTGTAACGTCCTACCAGACCTTACCGAGGAACATGCCCAGCCACCGGGCCCTGATGGTTCCGCGGTACCCAGAGGGGTACCGCACACTGCCCCGCAACAGCCTGGCCCGGCCCGACAGCATCTGCAGCGCGGCGGACTCCCTGTATGACCGGGCCCTCCGCCCCGCCTCCACCAGTACCGGCATCATGGTGGAGAGGAGGAGGTCCATGAGGGACGACACCATGTGGCAGCTGTACGAGTGGCAGCAGAGGCAGGCCTTCTCCAGGCAGAGTCTGGCTATGCCAACAGGTATAGACCACTTCCTGTCCTCCAGGAAGACTAAGAAGGGGAATTGTCCAAATTAGCCTAGTTGGCTAACAAAGCTAAGTGTCTTCTAACACTCTGGTTTTTTGAGCATCCTTGCCATGGCGAAGCAAATACACTAGTCTTATATGTACTTTAAGAATTATACTTTAACCTTTCTTTCAAATAGTTAGAGCTGTATAATCCACTTAATCCGTCAAAAGTGGATGAGTCAGTGCGTCTGTTCCTGCGGTTCCACTTTAGGTGTCAGACATAGAATGTGTCTTCACATTAGAAATGTTGCAAATTACGTCAGAGTTAAAAAAAAAAAAAAAGGGTGAGAAGGTATGATTTCCGGATAACGGACCCTTAATTAGGAAATGTAGATGATTTGAACCTCTCTATTTTGAATCATAAACTTCTCCCCCCATTTGACTTCCTTCTCTCCTGGTGTTGCAGCGGGGGGGCATTACGGCACTCTGCCCAGCGCTAAGACCATGGGCAACATCTCGGAACACGTGGCACACTCCATCCCCCCCTCACCCTCTCACGGCTCCCTGGCTCTCTACAGCACCCTCCCCTCCCCTCGCCAGCAGGACCCCCACAACCCCAGCAGCTCCCACTCCGAGGTGTCCTCGCCCGTCTTCAGGAGGGAGACCCCTGACCCCTGGCACAGGACCCTCCCTGCAAAGGTACATTGGCACTGTGGTTTGACTCAAAGATGAGAGTGAAACTCCAGTCAAAAACAGCACTACAAAGCGCTTTATAAAAGTAAAAAAGGCTTGCATAACAGGCCGATGTAAAGTGGAACATTAAGTAGACATCATTTAAGAACAGCATTATAGGATCAATTTTTCTAGATAATTAAAACTAATGAAAATATTACAGTTAGAGTGTCGGGGCACTGGAGAAGCTGCCTGCTTTTTGCTGTCTGTTCTTTTTTATGGGTAAAATGAAATATAATATTGAATGGCTTTATGAGGAGGTTTTATTTTACTTTGTCTTTTCTGGTTTAACAATGTTCTACCTCAAGCAATACATAAATGTAGCCCAGTGTAGCAGCAGAATTAAATTACATTGACATGTATTGAGTCCGATCATTGTTCTCTGCTCCTAACAAAGAGCGCAGATGTTGGCAAACAGACAGCAGTGTTAACCATGGCTGACTGTTTCCTATTGTTACCTCTCGTTTTAATGATGCTCCTCTTTTAATGCTCTGATGTTCCTCTGGCAGAGTAATTAAATACAGTTTAAGGGCTTTGCAATACTTTGGTTTGAATTGGCTAAATACTTGCAAGTTATGAAAACATATGAGAACATTTTAATCTTACTAAGTAACAATCTACACTAACAAAATCAATAATCTAATATAATACATCTTATCCTCCAGTCACATCATATAATAATAATAATAATAATTCATTAAATTTGCTTTTTCAAGTGTTCAAAGCGCTTTACATTACATATTACACATATTGGACATGCACAGTAAGAGTGATATGAAATGTTGTGTAAAGGAAGTTCAGACACAGTGGACTCTGGGCCTGCTACTCCCCTGCATTATGCAGTATGGCAGGTGCTGCATCACAAAAATACATGGCATAATATCTACTCCTTCGTCCAGTGTGCAACAAATGTCATCATGTGAACGTGGTTTGGTTCTACTCTATGTGCTAGCTAGTTCTCCCTCAGTTAGCTATCCCCTCGGATCACCTCGGGGCCGCTGAGGGGGCTGAGGCTCAGGACAGCAGTGAGAAGTAATGCATGAACAGCAATATCATAAGGGGAGTCATATGGGAATTCTTCATGTTTCTCCTTTGAAACTAATTGTACTTAATGAAGATCCCCTTACTGAAATGAATCCCAGAATAACTTCTACTGTCGATTTCACTCCTTTCTCATCCCTCCCCCCAACAGCACGGCTACACTGTTGACCGGCGGTCCATAGCAGGGGGCGTCCCTCCCCCGTCCATCACCCCTCAGTCCCTGCAGGGCAAGACGGTAAGTGCCTCACCGACACTGAACACTGTGAGATATAACCCTTGATTTCAGTGAATTTACGTCTATCTCACTGATGTTGTTCCCAGCAGACTCCTTCTGCTTCTATTTTCTCTTTTGTCTCAGCTGGTTAAATGTAATTATTGACAATACAGTTGTCTCTAATGACAGTGCTCACAAACAATGCAGTGCTACGATTCAAATTACATTTGCTTTTAAATTGGAGCAACAGCGATCAAGGATGAGGACTGTATCTCAGTTTGAAGCAGACTGTGGATAATGTGCCTGCAGTTTGATGGAAAACGTTTGTCAGAAATATGAAGATGGTGTCGAATAGAGACAGCTTTGATTTCACAGAGCTCCGATGTCAAGTTGTTGTTTCCGCTGCGGCGCCATCTTGTATAGTATACGGGCGACATGTTCTCGAGAGACTTTATATATCTTATATACAAGATCCGCGCCCTCATATTATACTTTTCTAGTGAACCACTCTGAGGTTTCGGTTCACACTGTTTCTTGTGTAGGTGCGTATGTTGTTCTGTGAGATTGCAAATCTTGATCTCAATGACATTTCCTGAATAAATAAATATAAACTAACTAACTGACCTGGATGTAAAAAGCAGGCTGGGGGAGACCTGGGGTAGCAGTTTAGCAGAAGCTAAAGTAGCATCACTTATAATAAACTGCATCCAGATCTAAAAGAGCTTGAATACATCATTTCATAATAGGGAATGAATCGTTCTTAAATGACACATGATCAGTGGTTGCTGTAGCAGATCCCTGCATCATGGTGATGATGTCAGTGAGGCAGCTCTTCTTCTCTGTGTGTTGCTGTGGCAGCCCGAGGAGCTGACGCTGCTCCTGATCAAGCTGCGCCGGCAGCAGGCGGAGATCAGCAGCCTGCGGGAGCACACAGTGTCTCAGCTCATGGCCCTGGGTATGGAGGGGCCCAACGCTAAGGTCAGCACTGGGTGTATACAGAACTGTACGTGTGTGTGCATGCACGCATTTATGCTTTCCCAACAAGCTGTCAAATCCAAATCCTGTGTGTATTTGCAAGGCAAGGTTCTTTGTGTGAGACTATTCAATCTGACTCCGAATTAAATTGCTTTGGTGTGTTCTGAAAGATGTGTGTTCATCCGCGAGCCAAAGACTGCACTGGCCCCCTTCTTATGTCCAGACAGAAATAACTCAACAACTGTTCGATTGTCAAGAAATCATGTATAGACATTGATAATCCACAGACTAGAACTGATCTATCACTATCAGCAGTTCCCACTTATCCATTCCAATAGCTTGACATGTACATTGGCACACAATATGGTTCATTTATTTATCCTTCCTAGGTGACGTGTATGGTCTGCAGACTTGCGTCAGTACCACCAAGTTGACATTGTCAGTACCATTGTAAAGTGAAATTGGAGCAGAGGTAATGCCCATAGATTAATTGTCTTTCATTCAGTATCCTTCTTCCAGAGCACTGGCTAATGGATCCTTAAAAAACATCTGTGGTGACAGTTAGTAACATCTCATGTACATAGGAATCAACCTTGGGGTACATATTGGGGACAAGTGCCACAAAAAATATAGACAAAATCAAAATATTATCCGCAGTTAAAGTTGGGTCGACAGTTGTCTAAATCAGATCATGGTCAGTAAGGGGCTGGTGGGTGAAAATCATAAAGCAACTACTGGATGTTGGTTGAGGAACAAGACACTACTCACTGCAACTTGTGTAAGTATCGACTGTATCTCCAACCCAGGTCACCAGTGCAGTAACAAGTAACCATAGCAACAGTGCAGTGAAACTGGGATTTTCTCTTTGGTGCCAGAAGATCTTCTTTAACACTTCACACAGAGACAGGTTTACTTTAGACGTCAGATTACAAGTTTGACCAGCTGCAGGTGTTTGGTAAATACTAAAGTCTTTCACTTGGCTCGATGAACACCCCAAACTCAATTTCGTCCTGGAGTTTCTTTCTTGTTTTATTGTACATTCTGGTTGGAGGGTTTCATTTTGTTGGGCATTTTGTGGGTTGGTGTGTTTATTTATGGGCTTTCTTTTGCATCTGTGTGTGGGAGAGTGTTTGAGCATGTGTATTTCTCTATGGTGACACTGCTCCTGTCCACGCATGCCCCCCCCCCCCAAGGCTCCTGTGTTGATGCATCAGACAACATGCAGACTTGCATGTAGTCATGTTTCTTTGGTTGACCGGACCAAACACTTCAAACATTTGCATGTGTTTAGACCTAGCCAATGAAATGCTTGTGATTTGTTATTGTGATATGAGACTACATTCTGTATTAACTGGGATTTTGGATATGGTAATGTGGTGATAGTGTTAAGATGTGGTTTGTTTCCCTTGTCTTGAAGGCTGCATACCTGTAAAGTCATGTATGTTGTTAACTAACGGTACTGCAGCACCTGTGGACAGAGACTCATTCTATTCTCTTTCACATCATAGCCACATTAGTCCTGGGTTTTTATTGGCTGTAAATATCTGCTGATGGTATTGGACAGCCCTCCATGCGTGTGTTATGAACAAAATACTTTTGTAGGAGCAGAGAACCCAGCTGCCTCATCATCATCGCTGCATCACCCTTCTGATTCTACTTCTCTTGCTTCATGATAATCAACCCGTCCACTAGTTTTGTAGTCGAGACCACCTAATCCGAGACCAAGACATTACCAAGACCGGAGAGTAGCAAGACCAAGAAAAGACCAAGACTTTAAGAGGTTGAGACCAAGTCAAGACCTTAAGAGGACGAGACCAAGTCAAGACCAAGACTTTAAGAGGTCGAGACCAAGTCAAGATCAAGACTTTAATGGCGCATTTCCACTACACGGCCTCGCTCGGCCTCGCTCGGTATGGCTAGGCCTCGTTAGGCCTTGTTAGGACCGGCTCACTTTATGCTGCGTTTCCATTAC